GTATCGCCGTCGATGGCAAATTAATAAGTGCCTCGGCTATTTGGAGATCAGATTCCGTCGGCATACTATCAGCAACTATGTCTTCAACAACTTCTTCGACTTTGTCTTTAATTTCATTTATTTCTTCTGTGATGTTAGTTTCATCGTTTGTATTAATTTTATCTTCATTTGTGTCGGTATCTAAATTGTCTGTAATCGACGATTCATCTAATGTACTTGTTTGAGATTTTGAGCATTCACTCTCATTGTCAATTAATGGTTCCGTAATTTTGTCATCAATGATTTCTTTTATTTCATTAAATCCATTAACTACGTTAACATTTGTATTATCTTTCTCATCTTCAAATAAATCTTCTGGTGGGTCATCGCTAATAACCCTGGTAACACTATCAGTCTCTCGCGATACACTTAACAAAGCATCTACTGCGGTGTCAGTCATACGTGTTTCTAAAGAATGTTCATAATCTAATTGTAGATTTAAATGTGTTTTACTCTTTGTAAATTCCTCTTCTTTACTATCTTCTGTGACAACTCCCTTTTCCAAACTCGATTCTTCTACAGAATTTTGACTTACGGTTGACATAAAATCATCGTCCTTATCAGTTGTTACATCACAAGCAATTGGCAGAGAAGGTTCTGATGTTTCTGGAGGCTCTAATATTTCATTTAGATTATTAGTTGGTGCATTTTCTTGTGTAATTTCTGGTGTACTATACATAAGATCTTGACTAGACAATGAATCTGTTTCGTCTTTTTCAATGGTAAAATCGTTAGTTATATTTATTACATGCTCTGGTAATTTTAATGGCTTACTTGAAACATCATCTTGTTTATTATCCAATATATTCTTTTCTCTTTCTTGTTGCAGTGCAGCTTCAGCCTTCATCCTCTTTAATTGTATTTTAGGAGCCAGCCTCGCCACTTTTACATGTTCTACAGGAGATTCCCGGGATTCGGAAGAAGAAGATTCAATGCCGTTAGTTTCATTCTCCGATAAATCCATTCTCTCGGCTGCATTCAATTGTTCCGCTACATATTTTACTATAGCATCTTGACTTCTAGAGTGGCGGCTGCGAAAAAATGTTTTAGTTTTAAAAATTGTTTTATGAGGTTGATCGGTACTCTCTTTTTTTTCACTTGCTTGGCTTGCCTCTGGTAAATTCTCGGTAGTATTAGAATCATTCTTTTTATCCGGAGATTTCGCAATCGCTCGCTCCGGAAAATTTTCTTCCACTGGTAGAATTGCGGGAACCGACGGCAATTCGGGTACAGTCGTCTTATTAAGTAATTCTGCTACTTCTCTACGGACATCATCATCCTCAGTACTGAGACTTTTTACGCTTTCTTTTCGCTTAGATGGATTTTTAACACGAGGAATTTTTCTCCCCGCATCAGCTTCCATTGACCAATCTTCGTCTTCACAAAATTCATACTTGGAGTCACTAGAGGATTCTTGTTTCTCAGGTGACTGCAAATCTTCAGAGTTCTTTTGTGTGCTGGGTGGAATTTCAGCAGGAATTTGTGCAGAGGGTAGTTCAGCTGGTGTCGGTACGTCGGGAGATTCTGCTCCTACTGGGACTTCGGGAGAGGTAGTCATAGCCATAGTAGATTCATCATTAGAATCTTCACCCACATCGTCCCAATCAGCCAAAAGGCTACTTTTAATTTCTTCATCGGTCTTCGCTTTCTTTACTTCACTTTCGACTGATTTTTCTTGAGATAATCGCTTTTGAGCTTGATTAATCTTTTCTGCCTTATCATTCTCGATTACTTTAGCATTCTTTTCTTGTTTAGGTTTACGAGCTTTTGGTGTTTTTGGAGTTGATTTTTTAGAGATTGGTTTTCTGACAGGTGTGTATGGTGTAAACGTGACACTGTGAGTCTTGTTGTGCATGATCAGGACATTTAGTCTGGTCGTAGTGAAGGGACAAGCGTGACAAGAGTATATACCGCTACTAGACATAGTTGGGGTGCTATAACTGGAGACAGGTGGCTCTGTAACATTTTCAACTTTTTCTTCAGCAGGCTCAGAGCCGGCTCGGCTTGTAGATGGCGAAGCAATGTCTGTTGCTGGGGTTGAAGGTGTCTTTGATCCTTGTAGTAGTATATGCACTTTGTAATTAGTCTTATCCTTTAACTGAAACAATTTAAATTTAATTTAATTGGATAATCCCATACAATTGTCTGTACTTTTAGTTTTTTAATAACAGTTATAGGTTTAAATAATTATCATAACTACCTTTCTTATTGGTGTCCTCCATGTTGGTGATTGTGGGTGTTTTCCTTTCGCTAAAAAAAAAACAAGATCCTTTAGTACATACTGAAAATAAGTTGTACCTTATTTATCCGACATCTGTTTTCAACATTACCACAAAATGATGTAAATATGGTTGCTATACCTCTTTTAGTAGATTGTGGTGTCCGTTTAGAGGGATCACCAAACAACCCAGCATAGCTCTCTTTCTTCTCTTCTTGAAATTCATCTCTGGTCAATATCGCTTTGTCACCCCCTACTGCTGTTTCAGCTCTAATCACATCTTCTGGAAATTTCTCCATAAGTCCATGTTTGGTTCTGTACATATCTGGAAAAAGAAAAATAAATATCTTTAATGAGTTGTAACACATAGCACACAGGTTTATGAAAAAAATAATATGAATACAAGAATCATATGTAAATGTTAAAGTTTGTTTAAAACAATTATTAATAATAGTTAATAGATTCACAAACACTGTTATTGTAACACAGAGCTAAAGTCAAAAGATTTGGATTGAAAATTATTTATTTCAGTTAACAAAATCTTCATTTTTTTTTTAAAAAGCCAAGATAAGTTTAAAATGTGCATTTTATAGGATTTCAGACTAGAATAGCTTTTAAACTACATCAACAACTAATTTTATAGTCTGAATCTTTAAACATCTAATCGATCAATCTGTCGATCAATTTATAATGTGATAAAAAATTACATATTGGATATAAACCAAACTGTATGCTTTACGAAGAATGTTACTCTATATGACATAGCTTTTAGTGACATATTGCATTGAGCATACCCGATACAGTTTTTGGTTACATTACTTTGTTATGCGCATGAATTTGTAAATGAAATATACTCACAAAGTCCTTTGTTGATAAATTCATTTTTGCGACTGCAGTTGTATTTGAAAATAGAATTTGTATTCTTCACATATTCACTGAAAAAATTGTAAGCTGTAGCACCTTATATAATACAAAAACTTAAGATCATGCAACGGAGAAAACACACATTTGGATATCTGGATATAGTTATTCTGTGCATATAATAAGGTTACATTTCTTATATTTTTATATAAGCTCAAATATTTTTATGCAAAATAGTTTCTTTGTGATTATTACATATCTTAATGACACTCACATACATGAATGTGAAAAGTGAATATAGTAGTATAGTGAACTCACAAAGTTTCTTCTTGAAAAAATTTGACAACTGCAATAGGGGGCTTCTTGAATGATGGCAGGAGATCTGGTGGAAGCTTATCGGGACCAACCACCTCGCCGGGCCAAAAGCACGAGCCCAGCTTTACCCACACCACTTCCCCATCCAAATACTCAGTTTCTGACTGTTCACACATCACCACTAATATGTTCAGACAAATCGTACAACCATATTTTATTCTATAGCAAGTATAGGTTGAGCTGAGCAGTTATCATAACATCATTAAAGACAATACAATCAAAAATATGCAACACTAGATGTTTAATTGATAATAGCAAATCACAAATCTTATAATATACTTCCTTATTTGTCAATAAACTGGCAAAATACTAATTGTAAATAATAAATAAATTCACCGACTGCGTACGATATTACTTTGATAGTTTCGTTAGTTGGCAGCACTGATTTCATTGAAAAATTGATCGAACAAAGAAATAATATTATTGCTTTCAAACTTTACTATCTACTTTTAAAATAAATTTAACGAGTTATTCAATAATATTATTTAATTTACTTGAGATATATCGTAATTTGAAGTAAAAAGATAGCCTTATAATGCACCGGAAACAGAGATAATGGCAGCGTCAGCACATACCAACAAAATGGCAAAAAGACACAGAGCGAATCCTTAGTGTTTTCATCAATAAAAATGATAAAGCCAGATAAAAAAAGGGATTTATTACCGGTTTTAGTAGGATTTAATAGCAAAAAAAATATTATGGAGAATACCGATAATACTTTATATAGATACAACGGATATGAGAAATAACGTGTTATATTTAATATTTTACAAATTTATTTAATACAACTAGTATAACTAGAAAGCAATGTTTTTCAAGCTTAACTGCCTTGTTTTCTGAAACTAATTTATTCTCTAAGAATCCAGTTAAAGAATCTTAAGCATTCGTGTGAAATAGGTAATAGCCTCAAAATCAGCAGGATGATGGACTTTAGGTAATAGGCTTTTACTTAAAAGAATACGGTGTTTAATTTATTTCTTTGCATATTGGTAAATCATTAAAAACACGACATTTAATATCTCGTGATTTATTATTTTTAAAACAATATATTACACTTAAATTAGTTACAATACTTGACAAATATACTAATACATCTACTTCATTATACTTAGTTACTTTCTAAAAATATTTCATCTAATTCTAATAACTTTGTCATTATTAATTTAATACATTTGCAAAAATCGGAAGAAACTAAAATACGTAAAATTTTGCTTAATGAATTCCTTCTAACAAATATTTTTTAAGTACAGATTGTTCGTGAAATGCTATAAATAGTTATATTGATTTTCCTCATTTTAAAAACTTTTAGGGCCTGTCCCACCACTGGCTGATAGAAGATCAGATACATTAGAAATGACGTCATTGTCAAATAAGGGAACAAAATCCAACATTTCTATTACATATTTTACACGTTGGATTGTTATCAGACAATTTACAATTTAGTGGGACAGGCCTTTAGTATACCAATATTTAAAATCTTCTCGTATGTAGTTTCATAATGTATTTAATTACAAAAGTTCAAAAGTACATTTGTGTTCAAAGGTTTTGTAAAATAACATTTTAGTATTTCAGAATTAGTTAATAAAAATGGAAATAAACTTTTGTTTCGCAATTGAGGTACGACATATCTATAGATCCATCATAAATTTGGTTTATTGGTGTACAAAACATGTACTGCCATAACATACTACAGGTTAAATTACAGCCAATTTTTGTAATTACTTTAACGGAAACAGTTTTTTCAATTATAAATACAAGTTGACACTGGACACAAAGTATTACATTCAGCCTTGATAACGCGTTTCTCTTTACAATTTAATAATAATGTTCAGCCGGAGTATTGGCGCACGATCTTGGCCCACTGTTGCGGAAAGTTTCTCTGTACGTAAGACAACGTGCGCTGAATTTGTTTTGTCTCTTGCGGCGAGCATTGCGGACACGCGCCGCGAAGGACCAATGGCGCTAGTGCTGCAAATAATATAAGACATCATAACTTCCAATAAAAATATAGATGATATAACAAAATTTGTAATTTTAATTTTACTAACACTAACTGTGTCTTATTACAAACCCACGCTAAGTGATCGCTTAAGTACCCTTCAATCGAAAGAGCATGGAAATAATAACACTTTGTAAAAAACTTCAATTTAAGGTCTGTATATAAGAGATGAAGAAGAGATCCATGTCTTCTTATAAGTTTTATAAAAACTTGTTAGAAACCTGACCAATCCTCGCTTCTTTAAAAAGTAACATTTGCAAGTTTAAACAGTTAGGCGTTTATTCGAATTGAGGTAGATTTAAAACCGTTTACACAACTTACTTTTAAGACGTTTGCCGATTGGATCACAAGGCGCTTCACCGAGAGCGCACTTCAGTTGTCTTTGTATGAAACGTTTATCATTTAGAGCTTCCTCCAGAGCCGTGTCAGAGACCGCGGGCCTGTCGGTCTGTGTTTGCGCAAGGCAAGTCGCCGCCAACGCACAAAGAGCGATAACAATGTGACTGATCTGAAAAAGATGGTGTGTTTATTTTAATTTAATTTAGTAAATAAAATGTCCGTTACGTATAGTAAAAACTATGATCTATGATTAGGACCTCAAGGTTATTTTTGAGGAATTCCTCTAAACACAAATGATAGACCGAGATTAACAAAGGACTTTAATTGTAATTATGTATTCTTAAATAAATTGAATCTATCGCAATGGTATTGTCCGGTGTAATTGTAAATGCCTCCAAACCTAATAAATTACCCCAAATAATTAAAATAAGTAGAATTCTACACTTTTTCTTATAGTGCTATTGTCCATACAATTTGTTGTAGCGCAGTTGATAGCATTAATGATTGTATCAAAAGATATATCGAGGTTCAAATTATCTTCGAGGATATCACATCGTCCTACGTAATGAACGCTATGAAATGAATAATGTCTATTGCTATTTAAATTTTATGACATTAACAATAGGCGGTTAATTCGCATGCGGTGGATGCGTTGACCACAAAACGGGTTTAGCTCGCAGGTACAGCGTGTCTGACCTTGTCACCAATTTATTTGTTTTTAAATTACTTTATGTGATAAAGAAACCCATGTAATTGGATAAAGCGTTTGTAGGATCATATCCATTTTAAAGAATAATTAATAATTAATTTATTTAAGAAGTTTGGGAGATTAGTATAACTTGGGGTGTTGGCTACAAAATTAACTGATCCGTACATTTTGATCTTTTACTTCGGCAAGGCTGTCAAACCGTGACAAAATGCTATCAATGCCGTAATCAATGAACTTTCAATAAAATAATAGATAGTAACAAATTTCTCAGTATAGTTAATAGCCAATTCATTATTTGAATGTATTATTTCAAGGACTCATCAAGGTTAAGTTGCTTTCTAATAGAGATTTTTATGAGAGAAAGAAATAAACATTTTACAAGACAACCACTGTTTTTGGTTGTTCATTTCTAGTATTTTTAGGGTTTAGACACATAAAGGTTAATCTTAACATTATAAATACAAAAGTTTAAATGGATGGATGTTTGTTAGTGTTTGTAGCCTAAAGGATTGAACGGATTCCGATGAAATTTAGTATACATGTAGAAGATAGTATGGAATAACACTTATTTTTTTTAATGCAACGCGAACGCAGTCGCGGGCAAAAGCTACTAGATAATATATTTGTTTTAATATATCAGTGTGTAAAGTGAAGCATGACGTTTTGAATACATTTAACAATATACAAACATAACAAGACTGTATGTTTTGAAATCTCTCATAAGTATGTAACAGTTGAGGCAATGTGAAAAATACATTTATGTTTTCACACACCACAATGATGAATGGCTTATGGCTTTTGTTGTATTAAAACGCATACGTTTTCTATACGAGCGTGAGAGAAAATTGGAACAAAGTTAAAACAATAATTGTGCACAATTCGTTTCTTTCTACTTTGATTTCATACGTGACATATTTATATATTATTCAGTAGTAGTAAATAATAGTATTTTCAATCGATATTTTACTGTTTATATTTTTAGATAGGTATTGTTTTTCTTTTACAAGGAGTTTGTAGTTTTTTTTTCATCATCATCTGAGGCGCTACAGCCGCGGGCGGGCCTGGACCTGGTCCAGTAAACTTCTCCAATTCTGTCTATTTTGGGCCGTAGTTTTTTTTTATAATGACAGTATTCATCGTCGTAAGGGCACAGTTTAATGTAGCGCATGCGTGGTACGAGATATTTCCTGTTCACATATATCATACCGCTCGCATGCGAGAACCATTTTCTTAGTCGTTAAGCATGCGTTGAGCGATGTTCCTAACCTCGTATTATACTCGTCAGCAAAGTCCTGCGGGGTCACTTGATTTACAACTACCGATAATTTCATTACTCGTTAACCCGTATGCGGGGAATTTCTGCATGCGGTATAACGACTGAGTTATAGAATAATAGAATAGTGTCCTAGTAATAAAATAAAATAAGTCGATGATCCATGTTGTATGCGATTTTTACTATACAATAGCTGTTGCCTGCAACTTCATTCACGCAATATTAAGATCAAGTAGTGCCCGTCTATGCCAGTTACCCTTTAGTGAAAGTCCGGTCAAAGTCGGCAAAGCGTTTCGGAGATTACCCGGAACAAACGCGGCTTGCGGACAGACAGGCAGACGAAAATTTTTTAAATATATGCAGACACTCCAATTTTATTATATGTATAGATATAATAAGGTATTTTCATCAGAATGCATTGCAATTACTAGTGTTTTTTTTAATTCCAGTACTTGCTTGTGATTCGATTTTGTTTGTTTAGAGAATCTGGTTTAAAAAACTAAAACAAAGGAATAACTAATGATTTTATACATTGAGGTCAGTTACCTTCAAATAATCGATCAGTGTTCATTGAATAACGATCCATGCACATACAAAAATCAAAAAAATTATATATTCCACGTACACGGTCTTAAATGAGTACAAATTTCCTTGACTCAAGTTTTACTGACCTTTCAAAATTATTTAAAATACAATCATAAAAGGCATATATTTACAAAAATAATACATAACAAAACAGACACAACTTGACTCATTTATTTACCAACGATAAAGGTTATTTTGAAAAGCTTACGTTATAACCGTGGGTTTTACAAAGTATGTTTCTTGAAAAAGCATTTTGTGCGGGTGTTTCCTCCGTGGAAACCTACTATGTCAACGATTACGATTATTGTAAAACCCCGGCAATTCTTGTGATTTACAGCTTTTTCGTGAAAGTTAAAGTTTTATTCTATTTCACAAATGGATTAGAAATATTATTTGCAGGACATTTAGGAATACATTTTTTAACATTTATGGTTTTGTTTTTTTTTTAACTATATTATTATTCTATTTTTAACTTCAGTTATTTTTTTTCTTTTATGGAATTAAAAAACAAATCACATATATATTTTAAAGTAATAATATTCTTGTTAACAGATTTATTTATTTTCCAATATGAAGCCAACGTATCTTGTATTATTGTCTAAGTGTGATGTGATATTTCGAAATGTACTAATTTGGTAGAAGAGAAATTACTAAATTATGAAATTTGACCCATGAGATTATTATATTAATTAAAAGAATATTACTCAGACGTCCCACTTTGAAAACATGTCGTAACATCCTATGCAAGTTCTATATTGCAATAAGGAAAATTATAATAAAGTTATAATTTAAAAAAAAAATACAACTTACCTGCATTTTATTTGTCTTTTAGGGTATACACTAATATGAACTGAGATGAAACTTATATTTTTGTAACACTTTGTAACACGGTCGGTCAGTCGAACTTGTTGGACGGTGAATGCTTACAACTTAGCTTGTGCGGTAACCTCTTACTTAACCCCCCCTCTTTGCAACTTGCATGTTGCTTATGTTGTACGTCATTGAGGTTGCCTCAAAAATAATTCGCTAGCAATACTAATTTATTTTATTTTTATTTAATGCTTAACCCGACACGGTTTGAATTGCCACGATAAAATAATATCAAAGCATTATAAAATTAAAAAGTTACACTAAAATATAATACGTTTTTTTTGCAATTCGATGTTTTTTTATGCTATCAGAAAATATCCAGTAGTTAAGAATCTTACATTAAAAACACGTAACGTTCGTAAACACGAACACTAACAAAAGTGGACATATATTTTAAAAAGGATCTTGAAATTAAAAAAAAACGGTATTTTTTATAATCCAACAGCTAGAACATAAAATATTTTAGTTGACAATGATTTATTTTATAAATATATCGATTACCCTTGGGATTATTATTTTTTTTATGTAAAGCACAAACTAAAAATCAGAATATTGGTTATATATTTTCAGGTATAAAAAAACTAATTTTATAAATAAACTCATTGAACCAACATCGATATGTTATTGGTTGTACGTAGGTATGGTATAACAGGTCGTTGTTTCGAATCACAGCCGGTTCTGTATAGATTACATCTTACATCGTACAAAGCGCACTTATATTCCTGTCTTGAGACAGGCTTTATTAAAAAGTAAATAATTGTAAAAACAGTCCTATCTATTTTATTTATGTTTTAATTATCAAAAAAAATCTTTTTTGCTTCTAAATCAGACGTCTCTGCCTTATAGATAAAAATATAACATAGGAGTTACGGGCGAGATTGTTTTTTTTTTCAAAATAAAATTGTAAATAAAATCTTTAATTCTATGTATATTTAATTCCTAATTGGTTATTTAATTTAATAGTTATATGTCCGATAAGAATGAATAGGTTTATCCAAGGAGAGATTGAAGTAAGAGGAAAAGGTTGTTTTTTTAATGGCAGCAATTTATGAAGAGTCAGGCGTTTACTCCGCTTTCCGTATATGTCGTAAGACTCATTGCATAAGTTTTGACCTAATGACAATAATCTTTGCCTAATTTTAAAATTACATAAATCTAACCTAATTTACACTCTTCTGTGTTAGCTCGGAGCTGGGTTTTTATTTACCTTTTAAAGTCTATTTCCTCTTTTCTCTTATAAAACAAATACATAGACCGTTAACAATGTTTCTATATAGTATTTTGGCAGTGAATATCCACGTTAAAAAAGTGTAGTTCCCATCAAATACAAAAAATATTTTATTTTTAAATTTATAAGTCAATTCGTATACAATCATATGGAACAATATTCTTACGAACATTATTAGAACTTAGCTAGTTTAGAAGCCTATACAATCATCCGTGTTGACGTACGATCTTCGCCCATTCCCATGGATAGTTTCTCTGGACGTACGCCAGAGTGCGTCGTATCTGTCTTGTCTCCTGCGGGGAGCATTGTGGACAAGCGCCTCGAAGGACCAACGGCGCTAACGCTGCAAAAATAAGAACTCTTTTAAATTTTGATATCATAATAGTTAAAAGAATAGTATCAACTAGATTGCGTCATTGTACAATCATAAAACCGTAAACAAGCGACGTGTTATTCATTGAAAAATATTAAAAAACCAAGACTTATCGTAGGTTATTTCATGGTACGTTTCTTTGCATCAGTGTATTGTACTATATTTTGTATTCATGTAATTTAAATATTTTTACCATAGAGAAAATCTTGTACCACAAAGAAAATTAGATACCGTGCTTATAGACAATATCTTACTAATCTCACTAATATTGTAAATGCGAAAGTTTAGATGGATGTTTGTTAGAGTTTGTATCCTAAACGGCTAAACAGATTTTCATTAAATTTGGTACAGATATTGATGATAGTCTGGAAGAACACATATGTTACTCAATTTTGTTTTTTTTTTAATTTCACGCAGACGGAGTCGCTGGCGAAAGCGAGCCGGAAATAAAAGTTTACCAAAATTATCTATAAATTACATTTAATTAGCCATGACAGTTAATACCTCATCCTTAATTAATTTAAGAAATTGACATTTATAACTGAGGCCGTACACGAGACATTCGTCACATTCGCAGTTACCGTATTTTTAAACGCACTTTTAGTTTGTTAAAGGTATAAAACATGACCAGTTATCCTTGATGCCAATAACAAAAAAATCTAAAGGCAATTATCGCTGAATGACAATTATGTGATGAAATCAAGTGATTTTGGCATAACTTTGCTATTATTTCTAAACACACTACGTTTTAATACTTTTAATAATTAATTATTGTCTATTGGTGGAAAACTTCACATTGAACCCATAAGTTGATTAATTATTAATGTTTACGGCAAACATCTAAATGTAGAGTATAGCGCAATCCAAACTTTTTGACTGCTCGTAATTTAGCACGAGACATTACGCTGAATACAATTTTAGGTATCGGTGAGAGGATGGTTGTGGGTGCGGGGCACACCGATGTGCGCACTTTACTCCACTCTTAGTGGGCAGACATTGCACCTGCAGACGTGCGATCATCTACGAGCCGTTATAAAGTTTGAATCTTGTAATACGACTGAGAATCAAACACCGACCGTGTTTGTCGTAATGCTGTTTACGGAGGCGCTTTCTAATTCTAACGCAAGCGTAGCTAATGCGACGTTGAATAACTATCGGATTACTATGAACCAAAACGAAAAAAATATATAAACAAGGAAAATGAAAATTAATTAAAAACGGCTCAACTCACGCTTTTTTCTTCCGGTGACGGCACCGACTAGTTTCGGATCCTTCGGGGATCCTTCTTCAGG